AGCAACCACAACCACAGCAACTAAAAATACCACAACTACCAAAACAACTACATCCACATAAACAAACCACAACCACAGCTACTACAAGAACCACAACTACCAAAGCGAAATCACCCACAGCCACCACAACAGCTATAAGAACCACAACTACAAAAAAAAAACACATCCACATCCACCACAGCAAGTACAAGACCCAGAACTACCAAAACAACCACATCCACAGCCACAACAGCAATCACAGCAACTACAAGAACCACAACTACCAAAACAACCCAACCACCACATCCAAGCCACATCTACAACCACCACGACAAGAGAAGTGTTTCCCTTTAAGTTTTGGGACTGCAACTTACAGGATTCACAGTTGGCTCCCGTGAAAGGGGCAGGACACACACAGATATAAGGATTTCCTGAAAATGACGAGTAACATGACCCTCCATTCATGCACGGACTATCAGTACATGTAATGCCTGTAAAAGTGAGAAAAAAATGAAATACGGTTGAATATTGATGTATAAAGTGCTTATAACAAAGCACCGTTATGTATTGTAAAGACCAAATTCTGAAGCTGAAAATCTCATGGTTTTTTTTCTCCATTCCTGTTGAAACAAGGTTCTGGCTACAATAAGGTGATTTAAGTATATCCGAGAACTTTGTAATAATTTGAGTTGAAAGTGCATATTTAAATCCAACTTAAAGCTCCACAAATAATTGATGTTGACAGCACAGTTCTTAACTCATATCCATTCATACTTTGATGTGAAATAAGCATCAATTTCATTTGCAAAACACTTGTTTCAGGATTCATTTCTTGGGTCATACAGTAGAGTTTGACTGCATGAAGGTTTGAAAACTACCGTCATGCAAGCTCCACATTTCAAAATGTCCACACGTACAAAAGAATGGATATCAGTGTAACTGATATACACGTAAGCTTGCTCAAGACTGGACAAAACTAGGCTAAAAATTGAAATGAATTCTGTAACTGAATTGAACGGTTTAATATAGTACTGCTCACATTATAAAATTGAGCATGGATTAGTACAGTCCATACACGTAGCACTTGTCACAATTACAGCACGGTTTAAGAGAGTATCAAATGTTAAACGCTATTCATCCTGGTCATGCTCATGTTGTTCAACATTTCATTAAATAAATTTCCAAAAATATGATACTTGAAACAGTTACTACAACTGATAATCAATTTGTTCATCATTTTCTGCATTTTCAAGAAACTATAAAGAGATCGGGCGTCAATAAGCGTGACTTACGAGTTTCACAACTCGTTCCTGTGTAGCCCTGGGGACACTGACACATGTAGGCTTCCACTGTTTCTCCCTGGAGACAAGTTCCGTTGTTCTGACATGGCAGGGCAGCACAAGCTGATGCTAAAAACCATTTTTTAAAAAACAATTGTCAGAAGTTTTGGAAAAGAAGCGTGCCTTTGTACATGTAATTTCATCATTTCTACAGCTCTTTTTTAAAAACTTGTTAAAACCAACTTACCATTTTGTTGGCAGGTGAGTCCTATGAAACCTTCGTTACAGGTACATGTAAAGAGATTTTCAATGACATCGCACCTGCCGTTTACACAGGGATTGGGGTCGCACAGTGTGTTGCCAACATTAGCTGGATTGGGCACAAAGAAAACAAGCTATAACTTTTAAGATGTGATCTTTAAGTTGGCCTACAGCTTACTCAGTGTACTAGTTGGAATTTAAAAAGACTTGCTGTACATGTGACGATTACCAGCTAAGATGTCTATTGTCTGCAAACAGTTCTCAAATTGGAATTGGTGAGCCCAAAAATTGGCCAAGCTCACAAACAAAAAAGGTTATCAACAGAAACCTCATCCACTGGTCCATCTGATATTTTTCCTGAATACATACATTTGCTCAGTGAGGCATTTCATCAAGCCATTTGCTCACGTGTGCTGGGGGTAGATCAAGGGCAATTGGGAAAAGGCAGTTCTGTTTCGTTTGAACAAAGTTGACAACTCCCATTTTTACATAAATATTGGTGAATGAACGTTTCTTTCCAAAAGATTGGGTGTGATGAAAATACAGCCAATCATAGGATTTATCCTTTGCTGTGGAGCGACAGGCATATATTTCAATCCAAGATGAACCCTGCAAAGCGATATTTCTTGCTTTTGCGTATTAACTGCAGTAAATGGGTCCTGTATATGTACTGTATGTCAAGGGATATCACTGCCAAACTTCATTCAAGATGCCTCTAAACATGGAATTTTTTTGCTTATAAAACCTCGTTAATAACTCTGAAGCTCGATTACTGTTACAACACTGGAAAATCTCCATGCACATAAAGGCATACGTACATGTAAGCCATGTAGAAAACTTACAGTAATGATTTTTCCCCACTAAACCTTTCAAACAATTTTCAAGCTTTTCAGGGAAGATACAGTGACAACGTAGATAAGCCTACCTGTGCTGTCCACAACAATGCTTGATGAAGTCGTGTTGACCCAAAACACATCAAACGTCGACACCATCGTGGCCCTACAGATTATGAATAAGCCAAATGGAAACTTTTGTGATGGAATAGACCAATTCCCATTTGCATGGTTGTATCCTAAATTAAAACAGCCACCAGCATGTCCTCGAGATAAGTTACCATGGTTACGCTATCACTAGATATCCTTGATGGCCCCCTTCAATGGTGTAATCCACTGTGTAATATACAGTGTTATACATTTATGTAATAACTGCTCTGTGCCAGTAGTTCCAAGCGAAACCTAACAGTGCACAATTCTTTTCACCATTTATGGGGGCCATCAGAATGTGTAGCGCTGTTGACATTGCTGCATTTGTCTGTAGGGAAACGTTTTTACAGAGCTGCTGAGCACCTATAGAAATGTGTTAAGCGCAGAAAATATGAGCTTAGAGATACTTGGGAAGTTTGTACTTAGCAAATCAATTTGTTGCAAAGTCCTTTCTGTTCTGCATAGGACTCAGGTTGGTATAGATCCCAGATGAGTACAATTTGAATAGTTTTTCTTTTCCCGATAAAGTTTTATATGCAGGACTAACTTACACAAATTCCACTTGTTCTGTGGTGATGCTGGGGGCATACCACGACAGCGTCATTGGTAAGGTCTTAAGCTCGTTATTGGAATTGGTGATGGCATCTCCCGTCCGACACTGAAGAATTTTCAATCCCGGTGGGAACGGTCCAACCCACTGACCAATTGGTTCACTGCTGCCAACTCTTTGCGCCTTGATCAGCAGACCGCGAAAATCAAAGTCCCCACTCAAAGTCACTGCATGTGGATAGAAAGACAATAACTGGACAACACAAGATTTCGTTGGCATCCCACACTGTGTATACATTTCTGAAATTACAAAAATCTTCAAAAATATGGTGGTAAATCAGATGTTTGGCTTTTATGGAGTAACTGACATATATCAGCCTATAAACAATGAATTTGGCTAAAAGTTTCCATACTGTTCTATCCAAAAGGTGCATGGATGTAGGAACCATTCAGCGCAATCTTGACTCGCGTGTAAATTTATTTTACTCCGTCCTGAGTTGCATTATCCTACGAATAAATTTCATTCAAACATACAAAGAAAAATCAACTCTGGATGGAGTAGGCCTACAATAAATTTGCACAAGACTGAAGATTGTGCCTAACAATGCCATACCCATGGAATGGAGGAATGGTAACCAACAGTCCACTAAATGAGTCTGTGCATGTCGGACGGTCATGGGATTCCCCAACATGTCTTGACTATCAGGAGCATGCCAAATTGCCCTATCATACATGCGTGCCGGCCTTTGGCCTTGCCTACTACACGGGTGTTGGTGCAGGATAATAATAATTACAACATTTGTACTGCGCTTTCCGCAATGTTTTAAAGCTCCACGGCATTATCATTATCCCTGCACATTAGGCTCACACATCATATGAATATTCCTGAAACCATCCCAGCTCCCTGGGGAGTATACTAGCCCAGTGCTTCCATTTCGGCGCAAACGGCTAAACATAACCGTGTCTGCCCTATCACAGGTACCCGTTTAGTCCTGGGTGATATGGGGAGAGGCACATAGGAGTAAAGTGACTTGCACAGAATCACAACATGTTGCCACCAGCTGGATTCGAACCCCCGACCCAATGCTAAGAAGCTACAAACCTATAACCAGCTCTGACATGCCTCCAAGGATGACCCCGTGCAGCCGGGCTGCTACTGCTCACTATCAATCTCGAAGTAAACCAAAGATCGTACGAAGCGGCGATGGTAAACTGGATTGGTCTCAAAATTCCCGCAGAACGAAACTGTTCATTGTAATCCACGAGAGGGCGCGCTCAATCATTTCTCGATCGCACGGGGGCGGGGGCCTAGCCTATGTGAGAGGGGTCGCGTTTCCCAGCTACCCGGTGGAAGCCCGTTTCTGACAACCTGAACAGCTGTTTCTGGGAACATACATGTAGGATGTTTTTTATTCATCGAATCTTCTTTTTTTATTCAATTAAACTAGTATTGTTTTGATTAGAAGTTCGTGCAGAAAATCAACCTGGTAATATCGACACAATTAACGTGAACGTAAGTGACCATGGTCTCCAGAAACCTTCGTCCAGGAATGAACTCCATCTTTTCTGGTAAAGTGTTAGAAAAGGCTGCACACGAGCCCGACCGTCACAGCGAATTATTTTATCTCTTTCTGCGCATAAAACCAAAGATTCAAAGCCTCAAAAGGGCACTTTATGCACAACCTGAAGCCCTAGGAAACGTAAAGGAGAGCCGGAGAGATGAAATGAATTAAACATCGTTAACATGAGCGTTGTAGAAAGTTCTGCTGAAACCAGAGTCTGTTAAAGACTGAAACCCATCCATACTCACCTAAGAGAGATTTGAACAAAGATCAAAAGGCGAAGAAATTTCTAACCTGACCCCCTCAAACGAATCACCTACATACATATGGAGTAAAAATCACATTGCTTCTCAAAACCGACATAGCCGTTGCAAACACTGCGCAGCCATATTCTGTAACATAAAAGGAAAATTACTTCCCTGCATGTCACGATTTCCGAACCAATCAGGAAAATTCATCTGTGGGGAAAGGGTTCGACTTGACTATAAACACCCATCCTTCTAACCCAAGAGCCACGCGCCAGTGTTGTTTTGTGACGCTGTTATGCATTGTTATTCTCAGTTGATTGAAATAGGGGGAATACATTTTAAGTATAATGATTGGTTTTTTCCTCCATCATGATAGTGCTGCGCGAACGTGTTCAAAAGGGTTGTGCTTTGAAGCGAAATTATTTTTTCAGAGGCATTATACTTTCTCCCGAACTTGTAACTGCAGTTAAAGGTTACAGGGACAAAAAGCTAAAAGTCCTGCATGAGAAAGTTCTGTTCCGATTGAAAGCCCTTAATTATCATAGATGTACGTCATTAACCTTTTTGAATAATGGTGGATACAATTATAGGGGCGCTATTAGAAGTGAGTAAATAATTGGAGAAAACAAACCACGGCTCATAAGTAGAACTGTAATCTCTATGAAACAAACAAAAGCCTTTTTTGCCCAAACCAAATAGAGCCCTCCTATTAATGTGTCCACCTGGGTAATAGAATTTGAAGGAGTATAGTTTCTGTTTGCAATTGCCGAGTGGAGTACAGTATTTTTCTTCGAATATTGTTCAGAGTTTGGTAGGAGTTCAACTTTCAATTTGGCTTTGAGAAAAAAGAAACCTTTCATTGCAATACAAATAGGCTCCATAAATTGCCCAATGCCTAGCCTTCAATGTTCCCAGGCTTAGATATGCTTGAGTAAACCTTTGGCGTAAACGTCCTGACCCGATTCCCCGTCAAAAGGTCATTCCGCAAATCACCCATTAAATAATGATCTCAACATGCTATGGAATGGAGTTTGTTAAAATTAACAGTGGGATAAAGCAAGACGCATTATGACGTCAGCAACACATTATTCTACCGCATGATGGCGTGACATTTTCACTTAAATTCTGGGTATAGGATCCTTTCCGATAACTTTAAAGGGATGACAAAAACCAGCCAGTCATTGGCACCAATGTGCCCACTGTACTCTAGAAGCCAAACTTTTACTGTGTGGACTATTTTTAAAGGGGTGGCAACACTTCAGGAGGGGTCAGAAACATTATTATGTTTTCTTGCCTACAAAAGGTAATAAAGTTTGTGATTTCACATAGTTTCCTCTTTTATTGGTTTCTTTAGTCCTTATGGATTATTGGTCGATTGGACCAAAACCTTGATAAATCCAACCCCCCTTTCAAATTTCTTTGGAGAATGACATAACAACACGTCCATGTATTATTTCCGCAGCAGTGTTTGACAATGCAAAGCCCTAAGTGTGGCACTAACAGCAATAGTTTACCCACAGTCAGACGGTTCGGTTTTTCAACTAAGTTCGGACCCTCTGTGCAATACATTTTGTACACTGAGATAGGTACAGTACATGTTTGAAGTTTGAAGCATACCCCTACACGGTTTTGAGTTTCCCATATGAGGTAATAATCAGTCATATTGCGAAAAAAAGAACCGCTATTATTATACGACCGACACTTGCTTTGGAGCACGTTCCAAATGACGCTAGTCACATAACCGACAGTTTGCTTGCACACAGTAGAAAGAAGGAAGCGCACAGGAATTAACTTGAAGGGAAAATGAAATCTGTTTACTGACCTTGGCCATAGCTTTCACGAGCACAAAAGTCAGTTTTCAGCTGCATTAGCCTGCACGTTAACAAAATTTGAAGCTGGGTGAATTCCAACTAACTCGCAAAAAAAAAGAAGACACTCAGAGAAAATCTGAAATCGACGCACGGTGCAGAGAATAAACGAAATTTTATGTCAACTCTCTTCCTTCTCAAAGTGTGTTAAAAAGCCTTTAACGTCACCCCAAAGACATATTTCAGGACCCTCCCATAAAAAAATTTGCCTCTCCAAGAATGTGATCTGGGTTTGCCTTTGCCGCGAATGGAGATAAGATATTCACAAACCAGAGTGGGAACGTCCAGTTCAAACAGTTAAGTCTCTGAACTTCTACCCATTTCTTGATGGGAACTTCCCACCAACTCCTATACGCAGTCGTCGGCAGATAGTGACGCCCTTGGGTTGTTTGTGGACCATTGTACCATTTTGTAAGACACACAAGAGTGGTCTTAACCTATTACACAACAATTTATCACGACCACTTCCTTGTGGTCGAAAAATATTCCTTACAGCAGCTGTGTTGTTCTCGTGGGAAATTAAATGTCATAATTTCCTACAGTCTACGGTCATTATTGTAGAAAAAACACAAAGGTAATGCAACTTCTGCGAGACGATAGGAAAGTAAATCTTTTCTTTTTTAAACAGAGAGGTCAAACCAACTAAGATATACACGTATCTGTATTTTAGGGAGTGTTTTATACCGGTTTTCGGTTGAAATTTAGGAGGGAAATTTAGGAGGGAAATTTCTTTCCTCGATAGAGTGTGTTCAACCGCAAGGGTTATTTGGATTAAACCACTAGACCTGTAAAGAGAGAGTCTTTCTGATCCATGGGTTGAAAACGATCATCGTAATCACATGTTCATCCTTGTACATGACTACTTGTAGCCCGCAGATGTCGGCTTTTCAACACTAAACCGATAGTGAAAACTACAATGCACAAAAACCAGTCTGACATACGAAACTAGTCCAACACTTCCTTGAAACTGCATAAAGTTTGTCAAAGAAACAGCCCAAGCTTTTGGCTCAGTTTCATACATTCCATTTGAGTTATGAAATACGAAATAATATTTTCCAAAAGTTGCACAAATTCGAATCATTTTGCTTCACTCGAAACGTGAAAAATGTTGAAGCGAACTCTCACTGAAAATTTAGTTGAGATCGTGACCTCGTCCCCTGAGAAACGTATGTTAAATTTGGCGGACAGTGTCTGTTACACAACACAGGAGGTAGCGTGTATATATACACATGAATCCCACATATTTTGATCTTAATGAATATCAAGCAAACCACACTGAAATGCATGAAATTATGTTGTGTTATGAAACAAATTATATAGCGGCAAAACAATAAAACATGCTTCACTGATTTCAGATCATACATCAGTCATGCAAGTTCAGCCTGATTTCGGTTCATCTTTAGCGTACCCCGCATTTTTATGGACTCCATGCGTTAAAGCGGAGTCAGAGGAACCGCGGCCTCTGGAATACCATGGGAATACCGAGCAACGGTATAGTATTCCGGAGATCGCAGGTTCAAATCTCGCTCCAGTCAATGTCTTTGTTAATCTTTATAAGCATTTGTAAGTACCTTGCCAGTTTCCTTATACAATTTGTTTCATGATCTTTGTTATTTTAATTTAATTACAGTAAATGCACAAAAGGTTTACTTGAGCCTACCCTAAAAGAAGAAAGAAATACCCTTTAACGTGACGTTATACGCAGGGGGTCGATTTACAAGGTTTTGTGCATGGTCCCCATCCTTCAAGTTACATCCACCTTTGATGATACTATCCACTTTACCTTGAACTATCTCTCCCGGTCTGTATGCGCTCCTGCTTGTGTTAAGTAATTCCACTTTAAACGGGTTGTTTTCTGATGGGGAGGCTTGATAGGCTACGCCTTGGGCTGTCTCGTGAACTGGTAACATGTCCAGGCATGATTCCACCGGAGCACCGTTGTTATAAGCATAAGTTCGGCAGATCACTGACAGGATGAAGATGCCTATCCAGGTCGAAGCCATCATCATCAATATCACTGCTCACATCCACGTTCAACGTGGGGGCTGATTCGATCCCGTAAATCATTCACTTTGGACTATTATTGGCAATAATGAGCACTGTTACCACACCCCTGTACATTTAGGGGGCTTTGAGAATGATACCAAGCGTGTAGTCACCGCCTTCAATGGACTACTTGAATCCCACACAGGTCATTCGAATGGAAGACGGCAATCCTTCAAGATGAGTGAAAGATTACGGAATGAAAACGCTAAATGCTGGTCCCGTTTTGATATTGCTCCAAGTTACATGTACATGTACCCTGTGTGCAAATGGAGAGACAGTGAATCACTTATGTATTGTGGGCGCAGTGGCAGCCTTTACGTTGGGGTTACTTTGTTATGTTAATGTTTTAACAAAGAAGAGCACTCAGGTGTGTACCGAGAGTTTGCCCTCGTTTGGTGAGCTTTATTGTTCAACTTTCCCAGCGGGCGATTTGGTTCATTGATGAGGGTTTTTTTCTAATCACACAGTCTGTACATTTCATAATAATTCAAGGTTCTTATACTTTATTATTTTTCAAAGAAGGTAATATTTCTGGGGCCTTGTACGTAGTTTGGACAAAATACGCAATGTTAAACAAAAAAAAAATGAGTCAAACAGGTTAATCATTGCCGGCCAGGGTCCCCCCATGCGCTTTGTACACTTCGAAATTGACCACGTTCACACCCTATGCGTTTGCTATACGGGTCGACCGCACAATGCCTTCGCAGAATTGGCTTACGGGTTCATTCAGTTCTGCCTAAATTATGATTGGAATTTGAAAACCGATTGTTGCTTTTGTTATACACGCACAGTGGGTACTGACGAAAAGTCGTCTTCCGCGACACAAGGCCACTTTCTTTGTCGTAAGTCAACGGTATAACCCTGTGTTATTAATTGACCTTATTTAACTTGAAAGCGAGGTTAACTTTTTTTTCTCTGGGAACCAAGAATGAAATTAAAACAATGAAATCAAAGTTCATTAGAGGTCAATTTCTTTGTAATGGTGAAAGTGAGGCATGGAACCGAACGTAGTCTGGCACCAACCCATTTGACTGATTACATATAATAATATAGAACCGAGGAACATGATCAAAAATGGCTTCCAAAGCAAGGTCTATAGACCACTCACATTTTGCCTAATGATCTTGTATGGGCGGCCAAACGTTTGCAGAAATCACCCGTTGGTCTATTTGACCTCAAATTCGCTCAAAGTGGACATTTTCCCATTAGTTTTAAACTGGGTTGTATTTTCATTTAGTATTACGTGTGCTATTATTTGGTGTTCTGATAGCTGACAGCCGCGTGGGATTTAAAACTTTGTGAAGTAGTCTTTTATTTATGTACAGACGGCCAACCATAACTTGAGGGAAACTTGACTTGAAGGAAGCAAACCACTTGAAGGAAAGCATTGATGACACACTTTGAATCATTTGATGCACTGAATTTTGTTGGCGGAAAAAGTGAATATAAGTACATATTCACAAATTGCGTCTACACGCTTTATTTACTGTATATTCATCTGAAATATTGGGGAACTGGCCCTGTCCTTACATGACACCGTAAAACCGAATAGTTATGATCTCTCCTGTTTAACAAAAAACAAACAAAAAGTTTGGCTTCAACTGTTCCCGAGACGGCCACGGACGACGCCACTGGATCCATGAAGATGCCAAGACAATAAAGAAACAAAACAAGCGGCGAACAACCAGATTGATCATATTAGTAAACGTCGCCGTAAAGGAATCACTGATCTCTTCGATAGATTTCCACATGAAAAACTCAGGCAGGAGGGCCTGGTCAACTCTAAACTAACTTACAGAGACGCATAGTGTTTCTCTGAGCCACTCTACAAATGTCAAATCTAAGGCTTTCTGCAGTCATCAGGTTACCAATGGGAAATTCAGACATCATAATCGAGTCCCCACGCATGAGGTCAACTCGAGGCCTAAATTGCGATCTTTGTTTAGGACTTCACTTTCAGCGAAGCCATCTCGACGTTCAGAGCAGGCAAAAGCCCGGGTACAGACAATCTACCAGCCTCGAGCTGGACCAAGGTAGGGCGCAATTTTCTCGGCAACGGAGTTCCTTTGGTCAGAACTGCTCTTTGCTGGGTCTCGCAGGTTTGCTTTAACACCTATGGTACATTGCACAGTACGTCGGGCCGTTATGCTTTGCGAGTGACATCCGATTCCCAGTGGAGCTGTTATCCCATTCTTAGCTTGCTCACGTGTGTGCGTTGTCCCGGTCCGTATTAACCAACTTTTTCGACTCGGCATCACCATACGGACAGCTGACGCACGTACGTACGTGCGGGTGTACATGTACATGTCTGCGGTAGTTGAGTTTGTGTTATTGTGGGAGAGCCTTCGTAAGTCGCTGAACGGGGATCCGTTGTGGTTCGCCGTTGTACCGTACTAGGGTGGCAGCCCCTTTGCCGTGGTTTGCGTGCGTACGGGCTGGATCTCTGCAGGGGTTTAAGGGCCACGTATACCGCCTTGGACAAGGCTACCAACGAGGGGGTGCTTCTACTCGAGGCGGATACCGGTCATTCTTCCACCATCTCAATGACTCATGTATAACATTGTTTATTGGCCTCTTGTCCCATGTCTCCACCTTACGAAAATCCCGGAGAAGCAGAAACATGCCAAAGTTGTTGATATTCTTAAACCTAACAAGGCAGTTGATGAACCTTCCAATGGGTTTCAAATATGAACCTATCAGCTATGCGTTAGCTTCAAAATGTTTGAGAGATCGACATGCATCTACAAACCGCCTTCTTCCCATCTGAATCTGCAGACTTCAAACCAGGACGATCTACATTTGACCAGTAGTTCCGGCGTAACCCCTGGGGCAACTCCCTCGTGGGAGCTCTTGCCCCAACCCATCGTCGCCCCCCCCGGGTTCTCTAGCCCCCTACCTCCGTGTCCCAAGGTGGGCCACGAAAAACGCTGACATTAATCATAAATGTTTCCAATAAACGGCCGTATTCCATTGACTAAAAGTGTAACAGGCTGGGCGCGCGAAAGTGCGAGTGCACGTTGCGACGATGCGCCGGTGACGGCTTAAGGTTGGCGACCCGAAATCAACAATGCGACGGCACGACGCGACAATGCAATAGATATATGTACGACGTTTTGAAACCCGATTACTGCCATTTGGGGGGTGCATGTGTGGCACTGTTGCTTGGGTTGGGTCTACGTCTGCTGAGCTGTATCGCAAACTTCCAATTTTGGAACTAAAATGGCTGTTCATTATGTGTGCTGTACAGTATTTGGTTATTATAGTGTGCTAATAAATATTGTCCATGTTAACCGACGCATAATCTGTCATTTGGTTCCAACAGTAGATTAATCCTATTAGACGCCATAACTGCGGTGGGCCACATTAATTCACAATTCACACGCACATTTTTCAGCTTGACGCTTTGGAAAATCAGGACACCAAGTTGGTCGAAGAGGCATGTAACGCGTGTACCACCTGTCCACGAGCATTGTGCCACCGCAGTAATGGCTTCTAATTCTGGTTGTCGAATTACACTATACGGGCGATTCACAATGTTATGCCTCCAAGAGTTTGCAACGCGTTGGCCAATCACAATGCGCGAAATCTGCCGACCCAGTGCGTGTTTGGAAAGGGTCGACAGATTTCGCGCACTGTGATCGGTCAAGAAATCTCTCTATAAACAGCTCTGTACCGTAGCCACTCCCTTGCGTCATTAGTGGCGCATTGTCGCGTAGTACCGTCACGCATGGTGACGTCTATGGTGTACTATTCAGGCCACGTTAAGCAGTTTGGGGAGTCTCCGTACGCCGCAGTGTTGTTAAAAAGCACAGTATAAAAAGTGCTGCTGCGGTGTATCTGGGATTTGGTGTGTGTGGGGGGGGGGAATTCAAAAGCGAATGCGGCTTTGGTCTTATTCAACATGAGGTTGGGGGAGAAAAATCAAAAGCCTTTACTCATGGTCCTGACATCCTTACTTTTATTTGCTGGCGTTGTTTTCTTAGGGTTTTGGTACTAATATCTGATAAATTAAGATACTGATTACTTTCTTTCCTACTCACCTGTGAAGTATTCTTTGTTAAAAAAAGAAAATCCGTCGGCTGGGGGCAACTTGCCCTACCGCTGCTGGCAATGCCACTGCAGTATTGTTACGCAGTGCGGTGAATATAGCAGCGCGGTTAAAGTCTCTTCTGCCCCTTGGTTTCCCCTCTGATCCAGTGTTAGGTCCCAATTTTTCGGGTTTCTGGGGGAGTGATCACATTTATTTTTTATAAAGCCTGAAAATTTACCTGTGATGACACGCTTCTGGAAGCCTTTGATAAGACAAATTAGATGCACAGATTTTAGAATTTCCAATTACTTTTCGCTTATTTATTGCCAATGCACGACTTTCTATGGTAACTGGATGGAAGACCTAGTTATGATTGGCCTATCTCGTTCATCTCATTGTTGTGCCACCTAGCGGCCATCCTACTTCACCCTGTACAAGTACTTGGTACCTTTCGGTAATTGATTCGGTTTTATTCGTCACACGCGATCCACACAGTATACGCACGTATTTACGTGGGAACGTTGATTGCCTTACCTCAGATAAATCGGAACTCGGCCAGTATGTTACTCATCCAATGCTAGAGCCAAACCGATGGATTCAGACGTTCACAGACAAAAAGCGACCACCGAAAGACTTGTTATCACGTCTAAATAAACCTAAAACCAAAATATCGAAAAATCTTTTCACACTACTTTTCTCACCGTGCATGGGGATTATGTAGTTTTTCGATTTAAGACAAAATCATTCTTCAACTCTCTGGATGAACACATGTACGCAGCTTTTTGGGGGGCGAAGTAAGATAGAAGCCAGTGGCTTTCATTTTTGACGTCATGCATCTGCTCTTCCTTCCATGCTTACTGAGTGACAAGCAAAAGAGTGTGGTGTTCTGTAGACGACAAAATCGCCGTCGTGCCGTTGCGTCATGGCGTCGCCTCTTTTCCTAGTACTTTTATGCTGTAGTTACAGAGTGTCCACGTAAAAAGTATACCGAGACAAAAATTACTGTAATAGCAAGACTACTTTATATATGGGAAAGCGAAATATATCTCTAGAAAGGGCAGAATGTCCTCTTTGAAATGGTATACAGCTTGTGATGTTATTGACACAGATGAGTGAACAAACTAGACTGGTGTTAAGGATACTGAAATCGACATTGTGGCAAATTTGCATATTTCATAAACAAGGCACAACCATGCAGGTGTGGTCTGTTTTATGTCACCTTCTGTTTTGATCCTCAGCGTTTCGTGGG